TTAAGTGTAACTTTTTTGTGTAGATCCTGAAAGTAAAGATAATTTACTTTCTTCAGCATGAGTTTCTTTGTTGTTTTGTTTAGCTTTATGAATTTTTTAATTTTAATTTAATATTTTTATTTAAATTGGGCTTTTTCATACTATATATGCTGATCATGGTTTCCTCTGCTCCAAGGTTCTCCTGTTTTCCCCACTCACCCAAATCCAGATGCACTATTTCTTATTCTCATCAGAAAACAAAGAGGCAATAATAGCAAAAAAGGCAATAGGACAAAACAAACAAACAGAAAAACGTAAGATGCACAGATGCACACATTTGCAGATAGAAAAAGCCCATGAAGACACAAAATTGGAAAACATAATATATAAGCAAAAGACTTGCAAGGTTTTAAAAAATATCCAAATAATGTTTTATGAGAAAAAGAAACCAAAACTAGTATTGAGTTTGTTCTGTGTTGACCATCTATAGCTGGGCATGGGGCTTACCCTTAAGTGTGGTATGTATACCTAGTGTGACTCTGTTGGAGAAAGCTAAGTTTTCATTTGTGAGAAGTTGTCAGGTGAACATAACTGTTGGGTTAAGGATGGAGGCTTATTCTTCCTTCTCTCAGCATTGAAAACCCGTTTGTCGGCCGGGCGGTGGTGGCACACGCCTTTAATCCCAGCACTCGGGAGGCAGAGGCAGGCAGATCTCTGTGAGTTCGAGGCTGGGCTGGACCGACAGCCTCGAAAACAATACAGAGAAACCCTGTCTCATAAAACCAAAAAAAAAAAAAAAAGAAAACCCATTTGTCTTAGACCTATGCAAGCCCTTGCACACTGCCAGTATCTGTGAAATCATATATGTGTCAGTCTAGACAGTCTTGTTTCCTTGATGTCCTCCATTGCCGCTGGCTCTTACAATCCTCTTGCCTCCTCTTCTAAATAAATCTCTGAGCACTGAGAAGAGACATTTAATGGACACATTCTATTTAGGACTGACTTTGCTAATTCTCGGGTATGCATTAGATGCATACAGAACAAAAGAAGAAAATCCTGCTGGATATGGTAACCCACACCCCTAATCCCAGTACTTGAGAGGCAGAGACAGGAGGATTTTGAATTTTACACTACTCAGCTACATAGCAAATGCATAGTCAGCTAAATCCATCAGTAAGCCCATGTTTCAAAGAACATGATTTTAAAGAAAGATAAAAGCAAAATACTGTGGTATAAAGTATGAAGTGTACATTGACTTACACCTAAGTCAGATCGTAGACATCTGGACACTGGGATGCTGACTATAAGTGTAGTATGGCTTCTGGAATCATATCAATACAGACAGAGGGCACCAGGACACTGAGACACATGACATAGTAATGGTTTAATCAATGTGAAGACCTACAAGGAATTTCCGCAGTGATTCTGAGATACTGTATCCTCCTAAGACACTTAACAATCCCTGAAGACATTTGTGATTCTCACAACTGAGAGATGAGATGGCTATAGCATCTCTTGTGCAGAGAGCAGGGATAGTGTCAAATGCACACTATTATGTAAGACAGGAACTTCCCTCCTCAATACCATTCATCACTCTTATAATATCCTAAAGTCTTATCATACACCAAAGGCACAAAAATGTTGTCACAGAAAACTTTGAGGAAAGTCATTCCATAGGAATCAGTTATCTAGATTGTCGTGTTTTGTGCCCCAGAGTGCACAGCGCAGCTGTTGGGTGCATTGAACAACTGTGTAAGAAGTCATGATCATTTTATATATCTTGCCTACCTGATTCACAGGGGTCTCATTGGCAGACTGGCACAGCCATATCTGGTAGGTACAGCAAAAGTCATAGCCAGCACAGCTGCTTGACAAAGATTCAACAAAGCTGAGTCACATGATGGCTACTGCACTACTTTTGTTTTTTTTTTAATCTCTGTGAGTTGCATATTTGGGGACTTTTAATATTTTTACAAGTTGGGGACTTTGGTTTGATGGGAATTTCTTATGTATCATGTGTGCCTTCTCCCAGGAGTTCTCCTTCTAAGCTTCGACAGTAAAGTCGTGAACTTACTACCCTTCCCACTTTTAGGAGATACCCTTATCTACTTGAAGGTCTTCCGTATGCCTTGGAGGTTGTGACACACATGAAGAAGTCAGAGGTCTCTTTGTAAGGCTGTGGGATATTCTTGAAACATCTGCCCTTGTACAGGAACAAGATAAACAAAATAAAATAAACTTAGAAAGTTCATCAAGAGTCCATGGGCTAAAGGACTTGATCACAGTTCAGACTGCTGTCCTCTTCTCCACTATACACTCAGCCAATTACTTGGCATATATAGCAATAAAGTCAGATTAGCTGAAGGTCACCTCTGCCCTACACAGAGACTTTTACTTAGATGAACCTCAGGAACTTTTAAGTACAACCATTAACTTCATCAAATAATCCAAAAAGTTAAAAGAAAACACATATATTCAAAAGCATCTCAATAAAATTAATAAAAAAGAACCTAAGAAGAAAAAAACCTCGAGTGATGCCCAAGATAGCATAAACATAAGGCTGGTGGAAAGGAGGAAGACAAGCCAGGACTTGAGAATGGAATTTAACAGAAGATAGATATGCTGAGGAGGACTCAAATGAAATAAAGTCCGTGTTGAGAAACCCAATGGCACAACTAGAAGACTCAAAGGAAAGTTTTGTAAGAACAAGGAATCAAGGAGAAGATGGAATATCAGGTCTCAAGGATAGAGAAGAGAGTCCAAACCAGTATAGCCACTATACCTAAGGGCATTTGTACTAAGAGCATATGAATCAACACCTCACAAAAGCCGCTTACTGTGATGAGAATAGTTGGCATGCCAACATTACCTACTCTTTCTTGTTTTAGATGCACAGTGTGATTTTAAAATGTCAGCAGTTGGCACTTCATAACATGTTCCATTGTTCTCCACAAAATCTCTTCAAAATATTTATCTTAAAGCATCATTGTGACTTAAAAGGATTTTCTGTTTTGCTGCTTACTTAGAAAATTTGGGGAGGCAAGTTCTGAGAGACACCAAACAACCAAAGGCTATGCTCTACTTCGTTGGTACTGGGACAATAATCCCCAGAGTTAATGACCAAACTGACTTCATTTACTTCTGAAGGCTGCAAGGGGAGAAATAATTTAGAAATTAGAAGGGTTTGACAAAATCTCTTTCATTCTGTGGCCCTTCGTTGGTATTGTTATTGCACTAAATGAAGACTGTTGGGGTCTTTCTTGGCTTCTATTTTATAGTACCATATTGCTCTCTGATAAGGGGCATTTACAAAGAAAGGCCTTTAATGATGCAAAACTATTCCGAGCTCCAAATTATTCTCATTGCAAGGATTAGTGAAATTAGTGAAATTTCTCTTTCAATGATTGTTTTTTATAAGTGACTCTCACAAAAGAAAGCTTTTCCTTTCAGGTGAATAGTGATAGCATATCACTAAATGGAAAATTATTATCAGATTTTGTTCATCCCTTTAAGGCAAGACAGATTTACACTAGTTATCATAAAGAAAGAAACTGGGTCATTCTCTTCTTGTCACTGTGACTTCACAGAGTGTTCAAAAAAGCAAAGGTCTCTCCTTCCTAGCATTCATGGCAATGTGCCCCAGGCCTACATAGGTCATTTGTTGCTTCAACAGTCTTGAAGCTAATAACAGAGAAAAAAATCCAATTTTTCCTAACATGAAAGAAAGCTCTGCAAACAGATCATTAAAGAGATCTCCATTATATTAGTCAGGGTTCTGTAAAAGAAGAGAACTGATGGTGTGTGTGTGTGTGTGTGTGTGTGTGTGTGTGTGTGTGTGTGTTCATATAAAGTTTTCCAGTAGAGCAGTTTACAGGCTGCGGTCTGACTAGCCCAACAATAGCTGTCTCCCCTCAGAATGGTCCAGAATCTGGAAGTTGTCCAGTTCACAACACTGGATATTTCTCTCAGCCATCCCAGACTGGTACTATAGTCTCAGGGGAATTCCTAGAAACTACTACTTTCAGTCTATGTTGGAATCCCAGAGAAGTAGATTCTAATACTAGTGAAGGAATAACTCAACATGACAGATGAACTCACCTGTGAGTTCCTTGTCTTTCTATGTAGGCTGACACCGGAAAGTGAGGCTCACTTTAGAGTAGTTCTTTCCGACTCAACTGGTCTAACAAAGAAAATCCCCCACAGGTATGTCCAGCAGCTTGAAATTTAGTTGATTCTAGATACAGTCAAGCTGACAACCAAGATTAGTCATTACATCAGAATACTGTTGTCTACAAGAAAAACAATGATATGAAATGGGCACATAGTTGAGGCCGGAAGGGTAAGCTAAGGCCCTTGTTACAAGTCAGTGACATCTGCTGAGAAATGCAATGCCGTGCTCTCTGGAATTGATATTTCTAAAAATATTCTCTCACATCCCTAGGAAACACTCTGAACCACTAAATGTCTTCAGGAAGGACAACAAAGGAGGGCATGGTTTCCATAGTGTTCAAAAAACACGTTGTTGTTAAGAATGAGACAAAATTATAATAGAAGCACCTATGTTTTACCATGTGTGAAGCATAATTAGTAAAGGCATCCTGACACCTTCGGGACCTTTCTTGCCTCATGATCTATATTCCCTGAGGACTCTGCAAACCCTTCAGGGGACCTAGCTTCCCTTTTTCACTGATCCATTTGTTACACAGAGGCACTCTCTCCTTGAGAAGCCCCTAGCCACATGAACATGAGAATCAATTAGGTGACCTTTCTGTACCCCATTTCCAATTACTTAGTCCAATCTCCAACCATGTAGTAGACTACCTAGAAGGGCTTGTCTTTCCTGTCTGACTCCACTCCCTAGGGACTCTGTATATCCTTTTGGAAGGCCCTCTGTGGACTGTCTCAGCCCTCCCCACTTCTAGCCCTTCCCCATTTCTTCATGTCAGTCCCTGTATTAGTCATAGAGGAACATAACTGATAGAATGACAATATACATAAACATATAAATAGAGAGAAATATATAGATCTAAATATATGGTTTATTAGAGTAGACTACTAGCTGTGGTCAAGCTAGTCCAATAATGGCTGTATACTAACAGAAAGTCCAAGAATCCAGGAGTTGTTCAGTCCCCAAGACTGGATGTCTCAGCTGGTCTTCAGTGTATGCCAGAATTCCAAAGAAGTAGTCTTTAACACCAGTGAAGGAACAAACTTGCTGGTGAGAATCAGAGTAAGCAGACAAGGCAAAAGCCTCCTACTTCCATGTCTTCTATAGGCTGCTACCAAAAGGTATGCCCCAGATTAAAGATGTATCTTCCCACCTCAAATGATCTAACCAAGAAAAAATTCCTCACAAGCATACCCAGTCACCTGGGCTCCAGTTAACTTCAGATGTAGTCAAGTTGACAACCAAGAATAATCATCACAGCCCCAATACCTAGAAAGCCATTCCACTAGGAATCCCCAGGAGCCACACCCAACTGGGACTCAGAAGCACTCCATACCAGTGCTCATTCATGTTCATTACTACTCTATTCAACTTAGCCAGGAAATGGAAACAATCTAGATGTCCATCAACTGAAAAAAGGTGATGAGAATGGGATACATATACATAGCAGAATTTTTATTTTTTACTTTTTGTTTATTTTATTTAAAAATGTGTTTTTAATTTTAGACACTAACCCCAGTTTCTCAGCTGTGCAGGCTGCTGAAGGAGAATAGTCATCAACGGTCTTATCTGACTGAGCCTCTGGCTTTGTTCAGAGACCAGTCCCATAGGAAGAACACTTACCTTCCTCTTCTGCAGAAATCTCACTAACAAAATTGGACACTGCCCCATGATCTCAAGACCCAAGGCTCAGCTCTGCCCTGCCATTTCCTGCTTATTTTCTTCTTCTTAATCAACTGACTTTAAAGAGCCTAGTCACCCACCTGTCCCTTTACCCCAGTGTCCAGAGTCACTGCATCATCATGCCTCATCACTGTGGGTTTCCAAATGTTATTTTGTTGGCAACTATGACTCATGTAATAGAGTCCTGTTCTAGTGTGAGTCTTTGGAGCATCCCCTTTCTGTTAGAGCCACACCAGTGCTGTGTTCTGTTCCCCAGGGGACAACATTATTTTCACATCTCTTTTCCTGAATGAGATACTGAGTCCTATGTCTGTGTTAAATATCTCTCTCTCTCAGACTGAGGAGGCTGATCACATGGTAAGCCTGTTGTAAGGATGAGACAACTAGTCTTCCTCAACTCAGTTTTGGTTCTTCAGATCCCTATTCAAAGCATTTATTGTGTTATATGATTTGAAGGCAGGTGGAGATACAAGCAAATGTCTATTCACCCTATCTAGGCAACCATGATGGACCAAAGAAACATTTTCTTCCAGGTCTAGCTTCATGAATACTAAGTGAGTTTATTAGAGTGAGTGTTGCTTACAGGAGCACTGATGACTCAGTAGCACCTGCAGCACTGAAAAGCTCAACCACAGCTGCAGCCATGGACCTCCCATCGGGATTTGCAGACACCTCAGCTGGTCTGAATTGCATCCCCATCTCCCTCAAAATCATACAGATTATATAACCTTGATGGGAGCTTCATGAATCCTTTGAATATCTTAGATTGCAGTTTTCTTTCTGAATCTTATTTTATTTCATATTAAAATGTGTCTTGTTTGTGCATATTTACATGTGTGTGAGTATTTCAGACTTACACTGGGCCTCCTCCTTGTTTGTTTTCTACCTTTGTCATCAACTGAGTCTCTCAATTGAAACCAAAACTGGCAGATATGTACACTCTAGCTAGCCAGCTTGGTCTGTGGTTCCACTGTCTCTGTCTTCTGAGTGCAGAATTACACTCCACGTTTATGTGGGTTCTGGAAACTGAGCTCTGATCATCAAATGTACATGTCAAGTGCTTTATGCACTGAGCATAAAGCCCTGAGCTTCACGAGTCTTTCTTAGGCTGTTTTGATTAGGAGGAAATTGCTACAAAACACCTATTCATATCTTGTGCGCATGTACTTGTGCATGTTTGGGTGCTGCGTGTGTGCATGTGTGTGTAAGTCTGTGTGTGTGTGCATGCATATGTGCATGTATATGTATGTGTGTATTAAAGTGTGATGTGAAGTGGAAAGACACAGAGGAACCTATGGGGGTATGTAGAGTTGAAGAAGGATTGGGGATTGTCAGGATCTAACATATTAACACATATGACCCTTATTTTTAAATTTTCCCATGGTGACAGTGAATTAGCCAGTGTAGAGAAAATATGTTAGAGGATAATTTACTCTCTGGTATGAACCATTTGATATTGTCACAGTCAGTGGCTGTGGACAGGTTGAGCTTGAACTAGTTTTTTAAACGTCTCTCGAAGGAGAACTTTGGCATCTTCAGTCACTGTGTCAAGAAAAAGAAGTTGAAAGTAAAAGCTTTTCCTAAAATAAAGACCTGTACCAAGGAGCCCACCAGTAGTTGAGGATAATTTCTCCAAATATTTGGAAAGCTTTTCTTCTAATGTTTCTTCATTCTTATTTTCCAACAAATAAGGAGATTGAATGATTTTTTTCAGTTGTTCAACAGGCACCTGGGAATCCTTAGCAATGACTTCCAGGGACACATCATCCACTCCAAAGAGGACTCGATAGTGGTTTAAACTTGCCACCAGATTCTCCATGTCACAGTCATTGCCCAGCACATTAAGAAAGCTGAACCATCCAAACATGGAAGATTGTAACAAGATAAACTGCTCCAAAATATCATACTTTCTTTGAATGGCTGCCTCTGTAATATTAGGCAAGGAAAGCACAAAATTGTGGCGCTTTTGATTAGAAAGATCATCAGTCAGAGTGTCCATCAGGACTGGAAAATCATAGTCAGATAAACTGTGGTTGGAAATCAAGAAAATCTGTGGGGTGTCCATTTTATTGTCCCTAAAGGTATTCACATAGGAGCTTCGGATCTGCTGTAGGATCTTTTCTCTGTCAAAGGTATGTGGTTTGCATTTCTTTTCATTGTATAAATCAAAGTCCACCTTGGTTCTCACAAAGTAGTAATTCTTTTTCATTAATCTGATTGTTTTGGCAAGATCTAGTTCAAGTTTTGTAAAACGAGCAGCAGAAACTATAATGAAGAAGTCATACTTTTGGAATTCTACTCTCTTCAGATAATTTTTTGGTGGAAATTTCAGAGTTCCAACACCAGGCAGGTCCCATATATTCAAATTTTTAATTCTGGGGTGCTTGTATGAAGTTATCTTCATGGTTGTCTCTATTACTCCAACTTCAGCTGCACCTTCTTCTTCATGCTTAACCCCCCTTAGGGCATTGATGAAGCTGGACTTGCCTGTCCCAGACTCTCCTGTCACAGCAATGTTTATTGGGGCACTATCAATAGTTTTTAATGCATCACTGATTACTGAGTTTGCCCCCTGAATGTCTCCTTTTGCCAGGTATAGCTCAATTGAACAGATGGTTTCCTGAGAAATGATTTTGTTTTCTTTCTTAATCTTCTTAAAATATGCAGTGAAGTTGAAATCCAAATCTCCATGGTCTTCATTATTATTGGTATTAGAGAATAACTGACCCATGGCTGTGTTGGAAAAGTGAACTGAAAGAAAGAAGGAAGAGTAAATTGCAAGAGACTAAAGACACCTTTGGGCTTAGCAGTGTGTTTTTTCACTATGCTGCAGCCTCACTTATGTTCTGATGTTGACTAGATCCCATAAATGTTGTGCTGGTTATTTTTGGTCAACGAGATACAAACTAGAGTCCTTTTGGAGAGGAAAACCTCAGTTGAGGAATTACCTCCATCAGATTGAACTGGGGTATGCCTAGGGAATATTTTCTTGATCAAGGTTTGGTGTGGGAGGTTCCAGCCCACTGTGGGTGGTGGTCCTGGTAATTTAAGAAAGCATACTCAAACTATGGAGAGCAAGCCTGCAAACAGCATTCTCTCCCATTGTTCCTGCCTCTATTCTTGTAGAGTTTTAGTCCCGACATCGCCCAGTGATGGTTTGAAGCAGAATGCAGAAGCCCCTCCCCCCAAAACCAAAAAATTAAGTTTTATTTTCAAAATCCTTTTGTCACGGTGTTCATAAAAGCAATATAAAAGCAATAGAAAGGAAACTAGAATAAATTGTCACTAGTTCTCAATTAAACCTTTAATTATGGAAAATTGTAAAGTAAGGGAAAATAATATAAAAATCTGCATGTGTCCTTTAGCCAGCATCAACAAGAAAAAATCATGAATAATTGTGCTGCATCTAAGCTGACTACAGTAAAGAATATCAAATCCAAGATATCTTCTCCATCTGTGCCCACTTTCTTCATTGTGTGCCTTCAAATTAATAAAAATGTAATCAACAAATACCTAGTATGTCAAGCTGAAAAGTAGGTAATAATGAATGATAATTGACATCCGTGTTTAATCAATGCCAAATCTCGAACAATCACACAAATCTGGTTTTGTCTGTTTATTTATTTATCTTGTTTGCTTTATTTTGTTTGTTTTTCACACCAGGATTGCTCTGTGTAACAGTCCTAGGTATCCTTGAACTTGATTTTTAGATGAGGCTGGCTTGAATGCATATCGTTCCAACTGCCTAACTGCCTCTGCCTCCCAAGTGCTGGGATTAAAAGTGTGTGCACTACCATCACCCCATGTGCATATTATTTTGTTTTCAAAATATGTCAGTAAGTCCACTTATTGTATTTGGTTGAAATAATTCTTAATTTGGTTATCTTTACTTACTTCTCTCTTTTTCATGACCTCAAGCTTATCTTTGTGAAGACTATAACCTTTCAATAACATAAAGCTCTTATCCTTGAAGTCCAAGTTAACATTATTTATTCAATACAATATTTCAGTGTCCTCAAATCATCATTTAAGTCACTGATTTGTTTCAAACTTTTTATTTTTTGAAAACACTCCAACTGTGCACTGAAGATGTAGTCACTTGGTAGAGATCTTTCCCAGCATGAAGAAGACCTTGGGTTCAGTCCCCAGCACCTCATCCAATGCAGCTTCTTGTGGATCCCTTTAATTCTGGCACTCAGGGAGCAGAGGTAAGAAAGTCAGTGCCTCCATGTCATTCTTAGTACATGTTGAGCTAGAGGCTAGCCTGGGCTACTTGAGACCCTGTCTAAAAATATGAATATCAATTCAGCAAGATTACTCAGCAGGTAAATACTCTTGCCATCAGTACTAGAGACATGAGTTTGATTACTGGGTATTTAGTTAGCTCAGATCTCATAGTTCTACCCTTTGTTCTCCACAAACTTGACGACAGCACCTCCCATGGCAGCACAGTGGACCTCAATGTTGGCTAAGGAAACAACAAATCCCCACTATCACCCATGAGCCTCCTCTGTCTGTCTCATCCAAATCAAATCAGTTTGCAGACTTAATCTCTATTTCTAAATGCAACCACAATTGATTATTCCTCCTACATTATCTTCTTCAAGACCTCCTCAGTTCTGGTGTTGATTATGTCACTGACATTACAATGTTTCCTGTGATGTTTTTTGCAACAACATGGAGGATCAAACAGCCAGAGCTACTCTATTGAACTGAAGTCATATCATGCTAATAAATTCTGAGAGCCACCATAAAGATTCCCATTTTACTCTGGGAAAGCTGATTAGGTATATAGTGTACACACTACATACAACATACCTTTGAATTTAATTATTGCACTCCTGGGGTCTTTCATGTCAGAATCCCAGCCACCATGGTAACTCAGGCTGTTGTCATCTCAGTGACTGCTACCTTTCCTTGTTGCTCTCCCCTAGCAACGACATGGCTATTTCTTTAATCCCCCGTCTCAACTAGGCAGGCTTTAGCATTTATGTCCACATTGGGTTATAAAATTGTACCAGCCTTGATTTCTCAGAAAATTAGAAATCAACCTACCTCAAGATCTTGCAATAGTACTTTTGGGCATATACCCAAAGGAGGCACATTCACACCACAAGGACATTTTCTCAACTATGTTCATAGAAACATTATTTGTAATAGCCAGATCTTGGAAACAGGCTAGATGCCCCTCAACTAAAGAATGGATAAAGAAAAAATGTGGTATATTTACACAATGGAATACTACTCAGGGGTAATAAGCAATGGCATCCTAAAATTCACAGGCAAATGGGCAGAGATAGGAAAAAAACATCCTGAGTGAGGAAACTCAAAACCAGAAAGATAAATATAGTATGTACTCACTTATATGTGGATATCAGACATAAAGCAAAAGATACCCAGACTTCAATGCATAACCCCAGAGAAGCTCTGCCAGATGCAGAAATCTACAAATAAACAATGGCCCAAGCTCCTGGAGTACAATCGAAGTGAGGGAGGAGCAAAAATATGAACAAAGGAGTGAAGACCATGTTGGGGCAACCCATAGAATCAGCTGACCTGAGCTAGTGAGAGATCACTGACTCAGGTCTGACAAATGGGGAGCCTGCATAAGACCAAAGTAGACTCCCTTAATATAGACAACAATGGTGTGGCTGCGTCAATATATGAAGCCCTTGGCAGTGGGACAAAAATCTAATATTAATGCACAAACTGACTTAGTGGAACCCATTCTATATGGAGAGATACCTTGCCCAGCATAGACACAGGGTAGACACAGGGGTGTGGGGATAGAGAGGTGCCTTAGTCCTGTCACCACTAGATGATGGAACAGACTTAGTAGATTTCCTAAGTGTGGAGCAGATGAGAGGAGGGAGAGGGAACCAGGTTTGGAAGGTAAAAACTAAATTAATTTTTAAAAAAGCAAAAAAAAAAAAAAACAAGAGAATATAAACCAGAATTCAAAAAATGTAAATAGTACTAACAGAAGACCCACTTGTATATATTACACACACATAGTAAGATATTATTTGGATATAAAATAATGCCATCATTCCAGTGCCTGGAGATTTCCTGGGGAATGCCACAGAGCTTCCCAACCCAGCAGAAGCAAAGCACCCCAGATCCCAGGTCTTCTCTTCCATCAATTAAACCAGGAAAACAGTGGATCCAGGTAAACAAGGCCTCACATCCCCATGTGCCTCCCAGTGACTGGGGATACCCACAGAGCCTCCCATCCAGGCAGAAGCCAAGCAGACCAGATCCCAGGTCTTCTCTTCCACCAAAGGGACCAGGGGACCAGGTGGGAGACTACAAACCCCAGATTCCTGGGCTTCTTCTCCACCCACTGGATCAGAACTCGGAGGAGGAATAGAATAACTTCCAGAGTATTGGACTTGCTTGCGCCCACTGAAAGGGAACTCGGGTCCCCTAACCACCAGACCAGTAAAGGGCTATTTCTGCAACCACTAGAAGAAGAGATGGGAAAGAGACAATACAAAAACACACTCAGCAACAGAAAAACAAATATGACACCACCAGATTCTAGAGACTCCACACCAGCAAGACTCCAACATTCCAATGCAAATGAAGCAGAAGAGAATGACCTTATAAACAACTTCATGAAAATGATAGAGGCCCTAAAAGAGGAAATAGGAAAATCCCTCAAATAATGAAAGAAAAAACAAACCAAAAAAATGTAAGAAATGGAAGAAAAAACAAAACAAAAAAAGTAAGAAATGGAAGAAAAAGCAAACCAAAAAATGCAAGAAATGGAAGAAAAAGCAAACAAAAAATGCAAGATACAGAAGAAAGAACAAACTAAAAAATTCAAAAAAAATGCAACAAATGTACAAAAAGATAAACCGAAAATTGCAAGAAACAATTCAAACAGTGCAGGGCTTAAAAACTGAAATAGAGACAATAAAAAAACACAATGTGAAGAATGGCTGGAAATAGAAAAGCCGGGCAAACAAAAATCCATCAATGTAATCCCTCATATAAACAAGCAGAAAAACAAAAATCACATGATCATCTCACTAGACGCAGAAAAAGCATTTGACAAAATCCAACACCCCTTCATGATAAAAGTCTTGGAGAGATCTGGGATAACAGGGACATACCTAAACATAATAAAAGCTATATACAGCAAACCAAGAGCCAACATCAAACTAAATGGACAGAAACTCAACACAATTCTGCTAAAATCAGGAACAAGACAAGGGTGTCCACTCTCTCCATACCTTTTCAATATTGTACTTGAAGTTCTAGCCAGAGCCATAGGACAACAATTTTAGAACAAGGGGTTACAAATTGGAAAGGAAGAGGTCAAACTTTCACTATTTTCAGATGATATGATAGTTTACATAAATGGCACAAAGAACTCTACCAGGGAACTCTTACAGCTGATTAACACCTTCAGCATTGTGGCAGGCTACAAGATCAACTCAAGAAAATCAGTAGCCCTACTATATACAGACGATAAAAGGGCTGAGGAAGAAATCAGAGAAATATCACCCTTTACAATTGCCACAAACAACATAAAATACCTTGGGGTAACGCTAACCAAACAAGTGAAAGACCTATATCGCAAAAACTTTCTAAGTCTTTAAAGAAAGGAATTGAAGAAGCCCTCAGAAAATGGAAACGTCTCCATGCTCTTGGATAGGTAGGATCAATGTAGTAAAAATGGCAATCCTGCTAAAAGCAATCTACAGATTCAATGAAATCCCCATTAAAATCCCAGCACAATTCTTCACAGACCTTGAAAGAACAATAATCAATTTCGTATGGAAAAACAAAAGACCCAGGATAGGCAAAACAACCCTGTTCAACAAGGCAACATATGGAGGCATCACCATCCCTTACTTCAAGCTCTATTATAGAGCTATAGTCCTGAAAACAGCTTGGTATTGGCACAAAAATAGACAGGTAGACCAATGGAATCGAATTGAAAACCCGGGTATTAACCCTCATATGTATGAACATCTGATCTTTGACAAAGAAGCTAAAAATATACAATGGAAAAAAGAAAGCACCTTCAAAAAATGGTGCTGGCATAACTGGATGCTGGCATGTAGAAGAATGTGGAGAGATCCATGTCTATCGCCATGCACAAAACTTAAATCCAAATAGATCAAAGACCTCAACATAAATCCAGCCACACTGTACCTCTTAGAAGAGAAAGTGGGTGGTACCCTTGAACGAATTGGTACAGGAGACAGTTGAACATAACACCAGTAGCACAGACAGTGAGATCAACAATTAATAAATGGGAACTCCTGTAAGGCAAAGGACACAGTCAGCAAGACAAAAAGGCAGCCCACAGAATGGGAAAAAATATTCACTAATCCCACATCTGACAGAGGGCTGATCTCCAAAATTTACAAAAAACTCAAGAAGCAAGTCTCCAAAACACCAAAGGATCCAATTAAAAAGTGGGCTGCAGAACTAAATAGAGAATTTTCAATAGAGGACTCTAAAATGGCTGAAGGGCACTTGAGAAAGTACTCAACATCCTTAGCCATCAGGGAAATGCAAATGAAAACAACTCTGAGATACCATCTCACTTCTGTCAGAATGGCTAAAATTAAAAACACCAACGACAATTTATGCTGGAGAGGATGTGGTGAAAGGGGAACACTTCTCCACTGCTGGTGGGAGTGCCAACTGGTTCAGCCACTTTGGAAATCAGTATGGAGATTCCTCAGAAAAATGGGAATAAACCTACCACAATACTCAGCAACTCCACTCTTAGGCATATATCCAAAAGATGCCCATTCATACAACAAGGATGTCTGTTCCACTATGTTCATAGCAGCATTATTTGTAATAGCCAGATCTTGGAAGCAACCTAGATGCCCCTCAACCAAAGAGTGGATAGAGAAAATGTGGTACATTTACACAATGGAGTGTTATTCAGCAGAAAAAACAATAGAATCCTGAACTTTGCAGGCAAATGGATGGCACTAGAAGAAACCACCCTGAGCGAGGTAACCCAGTTACAAAAAGAGAAACATGGCATGTACTCTCTCATATATGGATTTTAGACATAGATCCGGGGAGTGCCAGCCTACAATCCCATGGCCAGAGTGTCTGGGAAACAGAACCTTCATTCAGTGGCTGATGGAAGCAGAGGCAGTCTCCCATGTCTAAGCACTGAGCTGAACTCAAGAAATTCAGTGACAGAGAGAGAGGACTGATGACCAAAGAGGTTAAGACTGGGCTGGTTTAACCCCCAGAAACAGCTGACATGACAAGGGTTATCTCTTGAATCCCAGGCTGATGCCTGGGAATCCAGCATGGGACTGATCAAGATTCCCTGAATGTGGGTGTCAGTGAGGAGGCCTAGGTAATCTATTGAGCCTTGGGTAGTAGATCAGTATTTATCCCAGGTATACAAATGGACTTTGGACTCCCATCCAACAATTAGAGATGCACTCTCACCCTGAACTCTTGGGGGAGGGTCTAGGCCCTGCTCTGGATGAAATGACAGACTATGGACACCCTCATGGAGGGCCGCTCCCTCCATGGGGAAATGAGGGGATATTGGGGGTTGGTGTGAGGGCACGGGAGGAGGGGAGGGAAAGGGTGAGGGACCTGAAATTGACATGTGAAATCACATTGTTTCTAATTTAAATTTAAATTTAAAAATACAAAATAAAAAAATGATGCCATTTGTAGCAATATGGATACCAAAAAACAACATTAGTTAAAGCGTTAATCAGGTATAAACAGAGAGAGCCTGCTTGTCTCCACCTGAATGTGGAAGGAGAACGTTGATCTACAGGGAGAACAAGAGGCTGCAAAGTATGTGGGTAAAATGGAATCAAAGGGGTGATGGTTAATGATGTAGGGGTGCAGTTAGAGAGGAAGATAATTTCTAATATTCTGCAACACAGTAGGATAAATATAGATGAAAGCAAAAATTTCAAAACAGCTAGTAGAGATGTCTATAAATGTTCCCCCACACAGCAATGATAAATGCCTGAAGCCATGTGCCTGCCATTCATGCTGAGATCTTATGTACTGTAGATGTGTGTTGAAATATCACTTTGTGCAGATGGATGCATACTATCACTTATCAGTTGACAAAATAATGGATATTAAAAATGTTCTCCAGAAACATATCCTTCCCTTCCTCACCTCTTTAGTAATCTGTTAGAGCCTCACTGGTCAGAACTTTGACACATGACACTCAGAAGCTTCAAGAGAGGACAAAACAAGGTCAAGCTAGTCCAAATCCTGGCATACAGGAGTGGATGATCTCCAGGGCTTATTCCTTGCAGAGCTGCTGGCCACCGCTGTGGGGTGGGGTGAGGAGGGAGAACCGTTTTGACTGTCGGTGTGGACACTGGTAGGTTTCCCATGCTCCAATGAATGGCCCTACACCCATAAGCATATGTAAAACACTAACTGAATTCAGTTAGTTAATAGAAAAACACATGTAGTTGAGAGGAGGGTGTGTTGGAGAGGATGTGAGGGAAGCTGGAGGAGAGAATTGGCGGTTATGATAATTTTTTGCCATTGGTATTTATGAAAGTTTCAAAAATAGAGAGAGACAAGAAAAAATTGTACCTGCCTCTGTTCTTCACCACCCCTTCACTATGTTTCTGTCTCTTCACAGCTCTTGCTGCCACAGAATGTGTATTTTTCTGGGTTCACTTGCTGCCAGCCTCCCACAGAGTAATGTACCTCGGGTAGCAGGAACTGCTTTTCTCTTTCTCCCTTCCTCATCACCAGCACACAGCTATATGGAGGGTTATCATCAGGGAGTGAATGGGGACTATGAGGGAAGCACCTGGACTCCATTGTGAACATGTGCGCTTGTCCTGTAATTCTACCTGGTGTGTATGAAACTGCAGTCCTTCCAATTTAATAGATAGTTGGTTCTAAGAATTGGGCAGGAGCACAAAACAGTCTAATACAAAGCCTAAATATCCTAGAATCCTACAGGGTTTGAGCACAAGCATTGCGGACTTAATCCTCAGAAAACACCCGTCTAATCTACATGACAGATGGCGACAGCTGTGCAGGAAATCAGAGTGGCAGAACGTTGTACCAACTGATTGCCAACACAGGCCAGGAAGGTGTGGGTAAAGAGAATGTCCTAAAAGGGAAGCTAAACCTGGGTAAACAGACACCATAGTCCACTCTCCTGTGGAAGGTGACTGTCGCCCACAGGGCACAGACACAATGCCCCTGAAAGCACACAAGTTGTTCTATCTTTTCAGTTTTCCTCTCCTTCTTTCAGTTCTAGCTCCCGGGTTTGTGACGCAGACTCCAGTGTGATAGTTGTCTGCAAGGTCTCTCTACTGACTATGAACGCAGGGAACAAGAAGGCTGTGGCACAGCAAGCATTACAAAAGGAAGTCTGCCTAAATGACAGCTGTCCCCGCATCCTGACACAGCCCATGTTTCTCACAGATGGAGAGAAAATCCTGCTTTACAGTAAAGAAAACCACGGTGAAGACCATCCTTCAGACACAGGTTTCCACAGCCAGCTACAGCAGAAGCAGAGAACAGAGACCTCTTCTCCACAGGCAGAGGCCTCAGGTCTAAGGGATGAAAAAAAAATGACCCTGAACTAGGAAGCAAGATGAGACTGAGGTACAACAACCTCACGCACACTGAAGAGATATCCCATTACTTGAGACATATTTGCTCTCATGTTAGAGAGAGGAATAAGAAACAAGCCAAAACAATTTAAAATGTTTTACCAAAATCAATATCCAGATCACTTCCGTTAGCTGTACATCAGCTTGCAGGATTGGCTGACACCATACATGAATCAGAGCTGTCTACCTCCCACCAAAGCACCCCAGATTCCAACTGAGGATCCTCACTCTCAGGCATGTTCCTAAATGGCTTGTTACCTCTCAGCTATTTAGAGAAATGAGATGGTGTGGTTTAGAAGTTAGATCTGAATGTTCCTGTCCACTTACCAGAAAATCCTGAGTCCAGTGTATGCGTTCACTGCAGTTCAGCTGCAGGAACCACTGTCCACTGTGCTCCAGTCTCTTTTCAGGAACCCACCCCAGCTTCCTCTGTGGAAAGTATCAGGTTCATGCCAATTTGGCACGACTAACACACTCTTCCGGGTTCTGCCCCTCCCATCTCAGTGTGTGTTCGCTAATCATAGAAGAACACGGAAGTAGCTGTTTCCAGTTTCTTCTGTATTTCCAAGAAGAGGAAAGGGAAATTAAACAAACCATTGGTTTTCATTCTACCAATATTTACTTGCTTGACAGGAAAAGTTGGGCTTTCCTAAAATAACAATGTGGAATGGGGCTTGTACAAAGAAGGGCAACAGAGAAGCACCTTACTAGCTGGTCTGGACAACAACCCTGGAGAAGTAATTTTCCTGGTCTGTGATTCCACAAATGCAGCCTGAACTGAAGTCACACTACACATTGGCCGGGGTCCTGTGTCGATGCCTGTTTTAGTCTCAGCCAAGACACAAGCCATTTGACCCCCTATGACTACAACCTTATTTCTTCACAATTCTGGATTCATGTTCTTCAATTCTTGCCATTCTCAATTCCCCTCTCAGTGCAGGGATTAAGTATGTCTTGGGCATGACAGGTTTTATACAACAAGCTGTTACATCCACAGTCATTATACATGAGTGCTGCCTTGCTGAGTCCCGAAGATACTGTTCTTTGTATTTATCCACAACTCTGGCTCTTACAGTCTTTTCACCCTTTCTTCCACAACCATTCATGTGCCTTTGGAAGTGGAAATAAATATATTCCATTTAGTGCTTATCAATGTCTTGTTAATGCATCTTAGCCAGTTGTTGCTATAAGTACTGATTATTATCTACTGTAAATAAGAGTTCCATGATAAGGGTTAAGCAATGCTTTAATCTATGGGTATTATGGAAAATTATTAAGAACTGGTTTAATATAATGTCCTTTTAGCAGAATAATAGTAGTAGGTTCCCACTAGTCTGGGTTTTTCATTTGTTACCCTGTGCTGTCTAACAGGGACATTGTTGCTTCAGTAGAGAGCAACTCCAATCTTTTTTTTTAGTGTGTGTATAGACATATTTTCAGAAGCCTCTACATTAGTAGGTTACATACATTTGTCATTTTGTAAATCCTACGGTATTATTTATCCCTCTTTTCACTCCCCTCCCCTATTGTCACCTCCAAACTCAATTTAACCCTTCTTTGTCCATAATTCTCTTTTAAACCCCATCATTGTTCTCTTGCAACTCACTCTCCATGGCATCATAGTAACTTCAAAACCTCTTCGGGTATTCCAACTAAGGGTAGAAGCCAAGATCTACACATGAGAGGGATTAAATGATGTTTGTCCCTCTGGGCCTCTCTTACCTCACTTAGAATGATTGTATCCATCTACATCTATTTCCTCATGGATTTCACCATTTCCATTTGTTAACAGGTGAGTAATTCTCCATTCTGTAAAACTGCACATTTTCTTCATCCATTCCTCAGTTGATGGGCATCTAGACTGCTTCCATACCTTGGATTTTGTGAGCAGAGCACGAATGATGGGGAGTGAGTAGCTCAATAGTAGGAGGTAAAGCCATTTGGGAATATTGCCAGGAGTAGTACAGATGGATTATGAATCTCTTTCCCTTTCTGTGGAGTGTCCACACAAATTACCTTAATAACTGCCTCAGTTTACACTCCCACCAGCAGGGACTGAGTTTTCTAGCTTCCCCACATCCACAACAGTATATGTTGCTATTTTTCTTGTTGTTTCTAACCACTCTGACTAGGGTGAGAAGAAATCTCAAAGTAGTTCTGACTTGCATTTCCCTACTGGATATGAATATTGAGCATGAAAAATATTTCTCAGCAATTTACAAGTTATCTTGGGAGAATTGTATGCTTAGTTTATGCTTCATTTATGATGGGTTCCTTGTTTTCTTGGTGTTTAACATTTCCTTACAGATTCTAGACAATGACCCTATGTCCAGGACATAGGTGGTAAATATTTTTCCCATTCTGTAAGCTGCCTTGTCACTCAAGTGATGGAGTCTTCTAAAAATACTTTCAGTCAGCATCTTCCTTCATATCCTGTGTAGGTCTACTATCCCTATAGGACTATATAGTCCACACTGACCTTGAGGTCCTGCTGATTCTCCTGCCTCAGCCTCTTTGCCTGTTGAGATTACAGCTCTGGATTACTCTGCCTGCCTGGACCAGAACTTTCCTTCTTGATTTTGTGAGCCAGTCTACATAATATTGGTATTGTGTACATTAAATAGCCCTCTCTGGAGGGACATTGGGACATGTAAAGTGCCCAGCTCAACCTATTTCAATTCCTTTGAATTCCCAAGAGAAATAATACACAGATCACCTATAGCACCTATTTTTATGAACTCGAGTTCATCTTAAACAACTCAGCTGAATGAACACTTAATAACATCTCATCAAAAGTGGCAGAGATTATTAAACACCAATGAAGACACCTGCTAAGATCAATTTCACTGTCTGAGCCACTGAAGCTTAGATCCAGGGTTGTTCCCTGCCCCCTCCAGCTGGATCAAGCCCTGGAGCACTGTCTGCTCACTGTTCTTAGAGAAAAGTGATAGCTGTTCAGTCTGTGGAAGGAATGTGGCACTCCCAATGTACTCTTAGCTGTTCATTGCCGGGAACACGAAACTGAAACTACTTCTCCATCCTGCTTGCTAGTCATAAACAATGCACACACTAAATATGGATGAAATGGAAGCAACAGAGGGGAAGTTTGGATGAGCCTCTCTGCTCCGTGTAGATCCCTCATTGTCCTGTCTCCCTGTCTTTCTGTTTCTCACCAACACACCCATCCTTCAGCCTCAACACAGTACAATAACCACCATGTTTTGTATTTTTCAACACATTCTTATGCTGCCAGGTTGTCCTTGTGTAGCAATGGTACAGGTAATGAGCTTGAATTTCTAGCTTCCCAGTACTGGCATCACAGGTGTGATTTCATGGTGAGGGCCAAATCCAGGCCTTTCTGAACTCTACCAACTAAACTACATCCCCAGACTTACCGCTTGTTTCTTCTCAGATTTTTAAAAAATGATATAGATATAGATATTGTGGGATGCAGGCATGTGTTACCTCTGCAGGACCATTTATTTCTTAAAGTGAAATATTGAGGGTTGGAGTGATGGCTCAGTGGCAAAGCACTTGCTGTACATGTATGAGAACTTCATTTAGGAGTGCTACACCAAAAAAGTCATTTGTGGTGCGGTGGGATCACTTTGCATTCTACCCATCACTGGTTAGTAGGTTCACTGAGAGACCCTGTCTTAAAAAATAAAGTGGAGAGTGCTAGAGAAAGACACCATACAATGACCCCACCTCAGCCTCCACATGTACATTCCTGGTTGAGTGGACACATGGACATACACGTACATATACATACACGAATATTAAAAGCACACAAAAATCAATTTTGAGTTTCTGAAACTGCCAAATAGCTTTTGTAAAAATATATTTAAAAGTAAAGAGCCATGTCTAGACGATGACATGAGCAGAATATTATTCCCATCTTCTGAGTCTGATTTAAGCCTTGCCTAACTAATGGAAAATAAGGATGCACATACTGTTCACACTAATCTCATTTTATTGTTTGCTACAGGTGTTAGTTATTTGAAAATCATCTTATGTGTAGGATGAATTCAGTATTTTCATGTTTATTAGTAAGAGCTGAAAACAGAACCAGACACAACCTCTGTAGGACTGTAGTGGACTCAAAAGAACTACCTGCCTTACCGAGGATTAGCAGCTACATAGCAGAAAGGCATACTGGTTTAGTTGCCTCACTAGCTTTCTCTAGGGGGTTAGAAGTCATTCATCAGTTGCTTACAAAAAGGCATCTGACCACGGGACACACAAAAGCTGTTTGATACTGCAATTCTAATGATGTATACAGGGAAATGCAATGACCACAGTGGTCTCCCAGCAAGCATCACTTGCGTTAGAGGGACACACCATGAAGAATTTCAGAAGAGACACACTGCCCTACACCTCACTGGTCACTAGGAAGCAATGCTGATTCACCTGATCCTAGGCATAAGTGATTATAGAGAATGTCTTAAAAAACCGTACAATGTTAGCATATTGTGGAAATGCACTGGGGACAGGGAGTGTTTATTAAGAAAGCACCTGTGGTTTTTCATGTAGATACTTTAAACCAAGGAAAGAATCATAACTAATTATATTGTCTAGGCCTGTCACATCTTACGCATGGTGAGACGCTACACTCACCCACAGGACACAGACACAATGTCCCTGAAAGCACACAAGTTGTTCAATCTTTTCAGTTTTCCTCTCTCATTATTTCAGTTCTAGCTCCTGGGTTTGTGCCGCAGGCTCCGGTGTGATAGTTGTCTGCAGGGTCTTTCTACTGAATATGAACACAAGGAACAGGAAGGCTGTGATACCACAAGCATTACAAAAGGAAGCCTGCCTAAATGACAGTTGTCACCACATCCTGACACAGCCCATGTTTCTCACAGATAGAGAGGAGATTCTTAGCACTACTGCTTTACAGTAAAGAAAACCACAGAGACAGTGGCAGCATCCAGAGGCCTGCATAGGTCTAAGCCAGATGGGGTTCCAGAGCTGAGAGTGAAAGTAGATATGACCCCCATCCCTCATCCAGAAGTTATCTCCAATGGAAAACTTTCACAAAGGAAAACTTACTTTTCTCCAATAGAGTCTCACTGGATATACAAATCACACTTAAAGGGAAACACAATGCCTACTAGATGGCCAACACAAAATGAACTCAACGATGTTTTTGGAGGTATTTTTGTCTCATACTACTTTGTCAGGGCTTTTTTTTAAAACTTAACAGATATTTGGCTGATATATTGTAGTTTCTGTTTTATTTTTATGGGTTTTCTTTTTTATGGGTTTTCTATATACACAAATGTGTGAGTCTCAGAATATGTATATGTTTCTTATTCTTTTTCTTTGGCAGTTTTTTTCTTTTTGTTTGGGTTTTTTCTTATTTTATCATTAGTAAATAATAATAAAAGGAAGGAGAAATTGTAACAATGTTGATTTGATTGGATAGGGATATGGAGAGGATCCCGGAAGAGGTGGCCAGAATAAACAAGAATCAGTATAT